GTGCATATGTGTGCAGATGTAAATATTGGTATGTAAATGGGTATGTATATGTATGTATGTGGGTGTGAAAAAAAAAAAAAGAAAAAAATAAAAATAAAAAAAAGATAATAAAAAAATAAAAAATAACAACAAAACATAGATGTTAAACAGGAAGGTACTTTTAGGTTGCTTTCAGTGCAACTAGAGGGAGAAGGGGTATGAAAGATAAGTTATACTTCTTCATACCCTTTTCAGACAATTTACAGTAAGAAATAATCAATGACAGACATTTGGGTAAATATAATGCTTGTTAATGGTAAACATTGTTTAGTGCATTTCTATTTATGTTCAAATTATTTAAATCGAATCGGAACAAGAAATTTAAATTAATGTTTACCATTCACTTTTTATGTGATACACATTTGTTAGTATTTCTGAAATTGATTTAATCATTGTTATTATTTGATCATTTCTGAAATTGGAATTGTTCTATTTATTATTATTTGTTCTTTTGATTCATTTATATTATTTGTTAATTTGATTTATTTATTTTATTTTTTTTGTTACTAATATTATTGTCTGAAATAAATAAATATTCATTCATTCATTTATTCATTCATTCATTCATTCAATGGTTGTAGACTACAATAAACTGCGATTGTACTTGACTTGGAGGTACTGGAATATATTTTAATTATTCAGATAGGACTGAGGTCTATTCCCCAGATATAAGTCATTATTTTTAGATATCAGTTATTTTTTTTTATATTCACTTGTTCTGAAATGGCAATATCAACATAAACTGATTTTTCAGTTCAGAACTTGGCAAATACCAGAATGTCTTTATTTTACCAAAGTTCATAAAACGGATGACATTCAACATCTCTACCCCCCAAAAAAACAGACTTCAGTTAGATTATTTTTTTTGGCTAAATCTGGTCGGTCTGTCATAGTCTTGATTTATTCCAGAAATAGTTGTTGAAACTTGGGCTGTGTTTGGTCGGTTTGATTTTTTTGCTCTAGAATCTGCTCACGTAAAATGTGCAGCAACTCTACCTGCCAGTCCTCAGCAACGCTGTTACTAGGTTAAACAGGAAGTGTTGCACTTGAACCTGTGTTTGTTTGTCATCTTAAGACTTCTGCTGTACATGTAATTCATCATTCTTTTGTGGCAAGCAGTGGAAGTTACAACACCTGTTAAATAGGACTATTCCACTGAAATGAATAAGAACAGATTGTCTTTCGCTGTTTTTTCTATGCTAATAAACATTTATAGTAATAATAATAAAATTTTTCTCATCGATTTTGACTAACATCTTTGGCACAGTTGGAATCCTACAACCAGCATGTTTCCTGGATGGAGAAGGCAGGGTAATGCGCAATGTAGGTTTTTAAGGTTAGTAAAGCGATTATGTGATTATCACACAGAGTACTGCTACTACTGCATGTTTGCTGTATCCTTGGAACGGCATGACACAAACAGGATTTCTGTTGACCTTCTGTCAACAATGGATTTTTTTTTTCTGGTTAATGTTCCACAAAGGCCAAATTATTTTGTCGCAGATACTCCCTATTGAACTATGTACCTCTGTATCTCTGTATCTATATAAATTCAAAATAACATTTTTTTTTTGTGCGAAAATTGTAAGGGGTGTGAATTCTTCTGCAAAGCAGTACACAGCTTACTTTGTGGTTTTGGTGCTTTTTTTTAAACCTTTTTTATTCTCTACTTTCACAATTCAACAGTTGTACGTTTCATAATGTGTGCAGCCTTCATTCATTAAATTGTGTAAAACCCTGATTAGTCACTACCTGCTCAGTTCCTGTTGCAGTTCTGTTTTTACAGGTTTGAGCAATGATTTGTTACCACTGAGGTTGTCAAATTTGTATCGCACGTCTGACCACGTTTCTTACTGCTCCTCATGATCATCATACAATCTCATCTCGCTTGGGGGTGAGGTGGTGAGTTGGGGGGGGGGGGTCAGACACCTTCCTGCTATTGTGAGGGGTTTAACAGTCCAGGGATTTTATCCCCCTTGTTTTTGTTTAGAGACTGCATAGTTGCATGTGAAGAGCTTGTTTTTTATGTGCTGGATGGAAGTATTTTGTAAGTGAAAGACAATGGTACAAAACATTTCGCTGTAAGGCCTTGACAGTGTTTATTTTGCAGCAGACTGACAAAGAAAGGCATTCTGGCCATAAAACACACTGTGTCTGTTAGTCTCTTTGATTCTCTGTGTGATTTTCCTTCATTTGTTTTGCCTGTTGTTGGTAACTATGAAGTCATGTTTATATCAGCCATAATAATCGCTTCATTTAGGGAAATATTACTTACACCAAAAAAAAAAAAAAAAACAGCTAGATTTAACCAACTTTTGCAACATTTTATTCAAATGTAAAACAAAAAAATATTAAACATTAAATTAATTATGTGTTTACACAAACAAAACTAAAGGCATGTTATCTGTTTGACAGAAGAACAATAACCCAGCAAGTCTACATGCAGTTTGTAGGTTTTAGTCTCTAACTTGGAAACAGGGAATTTGGGAGCTAAGATTTCTGTCAAGTTGTCTCTCTAGTTCCAACAAGTGTTCCTCCCTTATGGGCTACTTCACTAACAACTGACGTCCTTAAGGCTTTACCAACTGCCAAAAAGACTTTCTGCAAAGGGAAACCTTGAATGCAACTTTTGAGATGAGTGGGAACAACCGTTACCCAGAACAGAGAAGGCCTTCTGTGTTTCTTTCTGTCACATCCCTTGTGTTCCCAGGAAAACAGAAAGCTGTTCTCCTTTGGCAGAACTGCAGCCCACACAGGCTGTAAAGACTACCCCCAACAGACCTGCAGAGGCAGTCACCTCAGGCACTTCCAGTGTTTTCAGAGACCTTCTGACGTTCTGTTGACCTTCCGTCCTTATCAGGGGCTCAGCAGATTCTATCAGCCTCTGTCACGCCGCACAGCCGGCCCACTACATATGTTTGCATGTGCTGGCGGAAGACAGGGTTCACAAATCATATGTAAAAGTAGAACAGCATCAGAGTAACAGCAAGAGTCTAACAGGCTTACGAAAACAAAAGAAAAAAAGTTGAAAATGCTAATTAATCAGCAGTGTTTAAAGATACTTGTTAGATTTGTTCACGTGAAAACACTTGAGTGTTTTGTTCTTGTCCCCTTTATTCCTGCTTGTTGCTACATTTTATGATAATGCTTGAAGATATCCGAAATAGAAAATAACTTATAAAACAGGAAGGATGGCAGACTGCAGAACAGGACAGACATGGTAAAAAGTTGGTTTGCATCAAAAAGGCACTGAAAAGTGAGTGTTTAAAAAAATGTACTATCTACCCTGTAAATCTACTAGATTGTGAGGCTTCCTACAGGGGAATCCACAGATATGCTATCTTACCAGGTGAATCGGAAACTTAAGATTTTGTTTTCATTAAATCTTTTTTTATTTTTTTATTTGGGCTTATATTTAGACTGGTACTGAAAAACTAAGTGTTTCCGATGTTTTTAAGTTTTCAAGCAGATACCAGAATGTCAGGAGAGAGGCCAACTACTGGTTTAAACTATTAAAAAAAACTCAATTCCTCCACTGTACTTAAAAACATAATGTTTTATTGAAAGACAAGAAATCTCAAAGAATGATACTTCCATTACCATGTTTTAATGCAAATAGGATATATTTATTTCGCCTAATAATTTAATTTCAAACAGAATCATCAGCCAAACATTAAGGTTTTGTTTAATTGTATCATGACATACCGTCTCTTAAGTTTTAAGATTTTCATCAGATCTGAATAATAAACATAGAAAGATATTGTCAAATGAGGCCAAAATGTAACTTTTCCACAAATCCTTTCTGGGCAGAAAACTCACACAGCAAGCACACAACTTGTTAAATAATGCAAAAGACTTGAGGCAGGAGCAGATGTGTATAGTTCATTAGAACAATTCAAAGATTTAAATCATGGTATATTATTGATTTTTTTGGCCAATTTATGAAAATACTTAAACATTTTAGTTGATGAGCTTTCCATACAATCTTACAGACCGTAAGTTGAGCGCCTGGATGGGGATACTTTGCAGCAAAAGGTGATTCTGCACAGTATTGGGTCTTAAAACTGACAAATTAAATGAAAATATTTTATTTACAAGATATGTTGAAAACAAAGCTTTATTTTCTCCCCATTTCACATTGCTGAGCTTCTTTGAGTCTCCCTGCCACAAAGAAATCTCCACAATACAAATTAAGTTCAAGGGGTTTGAATACTTTATCACAGTGCTACCCACAAATGAAAAGCACTTCAGTAAACTCCCTCTGAGTGCAGTGTTGTTCTTTGCTGCTCATGACTGATTCTTCAACTAACAGACAAAGGGAATGGGAGGAGCTGCATGCAGGCAGTGGGAGTGACTTCATGCAACCGCTCACTCTCTACCACTCTAAAGTGCATAAACTGTCTGTGATACCGGCACAAAGGAGCTGGGAAATCCTGACTGAGATGATAGAAAGCCTTCGAGACGTTCCAGAGGAAGAGTTTGAGACACAAGTTTCTTAAGAGGAAGGAGAAAGAAGAAGGACGAGATCATCCACTCAGAATATTAAAGACATCCACCTCATTACAAAGACAAAGAACAAGGGCATCCAGCCAAACCTGAGTTCTGCTGTTGGAAGGAAACATGCTGCTATATGGCGTGGACCCTGGAAGACATGGGGATCTTGTGACAACTTTGCTCCTTTGGAGGTGAAACAACTTATAAAGAGTTTGGACAAAAGGACAGGATCTTATCATAAGGAAACCCCTCCTCAGGATTTGAATGAGGGTAGGCCAACACCTTATGCCAAAAATGGACCATATGGGTGAGAAGGATATTTGTTTTACTGAATTATCTGAGTGAGTCAAACTGAGTCCGTATCTGGTGGGCTGTAGCCTGGAGAGAGTGCCTGAGCAGGGGGAGGGGAAGAAGCTTCAGCTTGAATCTGTCCTCTGGGAGGATTCTTTTCAGTCTTCATCAACCCCCAAAGTAAGAAGAGGAAAGTTAATCAAATTTGCAATGTCCAACTCAGAGGACCTGTTAGTGCTGATGGCCTGACTGCCTGGTTGTGTGGGACTGGTTTCTGGTTTTCATTCATGGACAGTTGCTTTGTTTCATAATGAATAACACTACCGACATGGACAATTCAAGCTGCAGCAAGAATGACATGTTCAAATACCCCCTGTACAGCACAGTCTTCAGCATTGTGTTTGTAGTCGGACTCATCACCAATGTTGTTGCCTTTTATATATTCACATGCTCTCTAAAAGTGAGGAATGAGACCACCACCTACATGATGAACTTGGTGGTGTCGGACTTGCTGTTTGTCTTCACACTGCCGCTGAGGGTCTTTTACTTCATAAATAAGAACTGGCCCTTTGGGGGGACTCTCTGCCAGATCTCAGTCTCGCTCTTCTACACCAACATGTACGGCAGCATGCTCTTCCTCACATGCATCAGCGTGGACCGCTTTCTGGCCATCGTGTACCCTTTTCGCTCGAGGATGCTCAGGACCAAACGCAATGCCAAGATAGTGTGCGTTGCCGTATGGGTGCTGGTGCTTTCGGGTAGCCTCCCCACTGGGTTTTTGCTGAATAGCATCACAACAGACGAAAAAAGCACTTTCTGCTTTGAGAACTTTTCATCCAAAACATGGAAATCCCACTTGTCCAAAGTGGTGATATTTATAGAGACAGTTGGCTTCCTCATTCCTCTTTTACTTAATGTTTGTTGCTCCATAATGGTTTTACAGACGCTGCGGCGCCCTCAGACCGTCAGTCGTGGGGGAAAGGTGAACAAAACGAAGGTCCTGCGGATGATAATCGTGCACCTGTTCATTTTTTGCTTTTGCTTTATTCCCTATAACGTGAACTTGGTGTTTTATGCACTGGTCCGCACAAAAAACTTAAAAGGATGCTATGTTGAATCGGTAGTTCGAACAATCTACCCAATAGCCCTTTGCATTGCTGTGTTTAACTGCTGCTTTGATCCCATCGTGTACTACTTCACCTCAGAGACCATCCAGAACTCCATCAAGAGGAAGTCCCAGGCCTCCCGCTCGTTTGATGTCAAATTCTCAGAGGCCCTCCAGTCAGATAGCGCCTCCAATTTGCAATGCAGCCTAAGGAACCTGAAAGCTAAGGTCTTCCACAACGAATCTTCTGTATGAAATTTCTCAGTGAGTTTTCTTTTGGAGAGCTTTTCCTAATTTGGACTTCATCTCAGGGCAAAAGCTCCCAACTATGGATTTAACAGCGTCTGCTTTGCAGTATTACCACTTACCACTTCACCCTCTGCTCACATGTGAGGATTTGTTACGACTACTTACACATTTCTGTTTCCTGTGGATTAGAGTGTAATTGTGTTTAACACAGTCACTCAGCCAGTGATGCATAATGGGATATGATCACTAAACTGCAGCATGGTTATACTGTATTTACATATTATTGGACCTGTGTATCTGTATATATGTAAAGTAAGTTGTGTTGCCAACTTTAGAGTATTATCTATTAAGTTAATATAAAGTTATTTCAAGGTCTAGATATGTATGTACGAGGCTCTTTGTTGATATGATATAAAAAATTTATTCTGTAATTCACTTTTGAGAGTGTGTGTTTTTTCACTAGTTGTGAATAACAGAATATAAGGGTGTCTTTTGGTTTTTAATGTTCTGGGAACATTTCGTTGTCGTTGCATTACTGAGCTTTAAATGCACTGATATACTTCCTCATACTGCATTCACACCATTATCATGAATAAAAGTCATGTGCTGAGTAATGCAAAAAAAAAAACATGCATCTTGAAAGTTTTTGTTTTAAATTAAAAAAGGGGATTTTCAGTTTACTGTTTTGGTTGAACACAAAGAGGTTATTATTATTATTTAAGTGTTATTTGAATAGACTAAGAAATCCATGTGATGTTTAAATTTTTTTTAAAAGAGTACAGTTACTTTAGACTCTAAGGAGCTTTCAAAATGTCCATCTTGACCAAACAAAGTAAAGAAGTGAAAGCTTAAAGTTGTAGTTTCTTGAAATGGACGTTAACTCTATGACAGCTAAATATATAATTTTGGATACACATATTTCTGGTGTCTCTATAACAACGTATTTTCTAAAAAGCTTTCTATAAAATCCAATATCTCTCTTCTAATTTCAAGATGACTAATCCTAATTCAGCACTGCAGTTTATATAAAGTACAAGCTTCCATATTTGAACTGGTTACAATATTTATAAAAGACTCAACAGTCATGCAACAAATATTCACAAAACTAATTTAATTGTAGTGAAAATTACTAATGTCTTAAATGTGCACATTATTCTGATGCATGAATGGCTGTAAGATAAATTATGACACAGTTGAAAAGTTCAGGAACAATTCAAAAAAATATATCTAAACTTTTATTATTTTCTCTTGCATAAGCGCAAAAGGTATAGGAGCTGATCTGTTTTTTTTCTTTTTCCTACATGAGTTGGAGAAACTAGAAGTAGGAATGTGTTTCACTTCTGCTGGTGATGAATCCAATAGAGGAGATGAATACTTGATTGTACTTTACTGACGTCTACATGCTGTCCACACATACCAGCCATAGAAACACTGATAGATTTGCTTCTCTGGTGCCTAAACTACATTGTAAGTGGGATAAATCATCCTTTTAGACATTTAAAGTGTAGTTGATCAGTTTTTAAGCAAGGTGGTGTCTGAAGCTTGGCTGGAATTTTTTTTTTATCTTCTTGTAACACTTTGTCTTCCTTTCCCTCACAAGGACATTTTGTTTTTGATTTCAACAGTGGAGGCCCCACGCCTCCACCAGACTGGTACAATCTGTACAGCCCCACAATCAATCAGAGAGACTCTGTTTTTGAAAGCATGTTTATTTTTAACAAGGGATAATAATCTGAAAATACGGTTCCAGATAAAAAGCAATTGGAAAAAACTAGTTGTTTTCTATGCTTTTGTGATTTTTGTGTTGGACTGGATAAGCACAAACTTCTGGTGAAGTGCATAAAGTGGCAACAGATGGATCAGGGTTTGGATTGAAGCTATGAAAAGGCAGCCCAAGGCAGAAGCAACCCATGCAAAGTAAAGGATTTTGGATATTTAAATCATGAAAAACTGAACTCTGTGGTTTAGTTTGTTTGAAAATGGTAACTGACTAAAAAAAATGTAACTACTTTGAAATGTGTAAGTTTGAAATGTTCTCATATTAAAAGCCTAATGGGACTAACGAGTGTAACAGTTGTCCTGGTTAAGGAATCTCTACATATTTTGACAGTTATGTCAACGACCACTTAATAAAAACAAAGTTTATTTTCCAAAAATTTGGTTTCTCGATTTGAATCACATAAATACATGAGACATCCATTGTAATACAACTATGATATAAATAGCATATACTTTAAGAGAAAATAAATTGAAACTCACCCCTAAGATACATATTAAAAGCAAATAAGATTAAAGTTATAGGACTCTGACAGGGACTTATTTAGAAAATTATCTAAATTTGTATGTTTTTTTCTGTAACAGTTTAAAAACAACTTTGCATAGCATGAAAATTCGACTTTTTACTTTTCTATCCTTTATGAGCTTTGATGCACAACATTAAACTATGTATTTTTACTAAAACTGATATAAAAAAAAAAAATTTAAAAAAATCCACCAAAAATGTTTTATTTGAAATGCCTATTTGGTATTTCAAATTCTCCAATCAAAAGGATTTAAAGTGCATTACTTTTATCATTATCATTACTTTTTATCATGACTTATGCAAATAATAAAAAAACAATTAAAAACAATTGAGCCGTACACCTAAAAAAATAGAATAAATGGGCACAGTCTCAATGCAGATCCTCTGTAACACAAGTGATATTAATTTATTTATATTGTATAACATTAGACACAAAGTAGGAGTAATCAGTCCATTAAAACCTTCCTTCTCAGAATGTCAGTGTAACCTTCTTGGACTCATATTCTCCTAGAGGGGCCAAAATCAGCCAAAGGGTTCGATATAACAGGTAAATGAACGATACACCAACTGTTGGACCTGGAAATCTTAAACATAACTATATAATATGTAATATAGTTTTCTTTTTACTGACGTTTATGCAGAATGGATTCTGAGTGATGAATTTTAAAATAATAGTGTAAAGGGATCAATATTTCATTATCTAATGTTTTATATTCTACATGCTCTGATGCAATTTAGGCTTTTCTTTCATATTAGAAAGTTCAAACTATTGCGTGCATTTAATACAAATGAGGAACTATGCATAGAAATGTGTCATTCTGGGAGAATAGTGTTACACTTTGCCAGTAACTTTTGTTTTGTGTGTGTGTGTGTGTGTTGTGAAACCTTTTGGTCTTTTAGCATTTTCAGCAGATTTTCCTGCACATTTCAAAGGTGGCACGCTTATAAAGATCCAGATACACATCAACTCTACTGATGGTTTTATTTTCCTGTCGAATGGGAGTTTTACTTTCTGGTATTGCTAGATGCATGCTTGGTATGAGGGATCACTGCAAAGTGCACAGTGCAAGCAGCTGTCTACTGTCACTCATCCGGAAGGCTTACTGGCTACAAATGGTGCTCTTTTACTCTAAACGTTTGAACCACTTTGAATGCAAAACTGAACTTGACTACATTGTTTGACTTAGATCAAAAATGGACCAAGCATAGGTTTGGACTCCCCTTTGTCATTCTGGGATTTTTTTTTTCTTATTTTTATGATTTTTAACATTTAACATAAATAATAGGGCAAAAGCATGTAGAAATATGTTGAAAAAAATAAAGTAAAATGGATAAATAATTAAGAATCTAATTTGCATTTTAGACAGAGCCCCTGTGTTTTGATTACTTTTGTGCACACTGTGGACGAGCCTCATATTGTTGTCACCTAAAATGGTATTCCAACAAATTTTGGAGGGGATGTTGCCTTCTTATTTCTAAGGTCACAGGCTGAAATGTTTGGGGACCCCTGTTTTAGTATGGGGCCATATTATCTGCTGCACTTTTCTTAATTTTGACACCACACATCATATTTTAAATGTTGAAGAAGCGCTATTTTTTTCATCAAAACATTTATTTTGAAAAAAAAACCAAAAAACAAACATACTAATGAGTCGAGGGCTTTGCTCAAACTGCTTGGTTTGAGCAAAGAAACAAGATCTCTACCAGAAATTTGCAGAATTGGTTCCCTTTATTTCAGGAAACAACTTGGTGTGAAACTGTTCAAGTTAAAAACACTGTAATTCAACCCAGCATGTTAGAAACTGACAGAAGCACATTCTGGTGTAATTTTTCTCACAGAGTCCGAAGGTCAACAGGCAGCGCTTTATTCATGCTTAAACCTAAATTCAACACAGTCAAGGACAGTGTTGTGAAAACAAACAGCTCTCTAAACAAGAAGTAACGTCCCTGTTTGGAGCTAAAACCCAATTACAGTATTTACAGCATACAGCCATGACCGAGTGATGCCTGTTGACATCTTTGCAAAGAATAGAGGCAGGAACAGTCGGGGATTAACAAAGGAAATCACAACTTCAACCACTTAAGATTAACGTGTAAACCTTTTCACTCATTTAGTACCAAGATGGAAAATATAAAAGGATGGCTGCCTTAATAGTTTAGATTTATTGATTAACTAAAACAAACACTGGGTCTGTGTCTATAACAGAGACAGAGACCTGAATGTTCTTTGCCTTCACAGCCACTATCTAATCAACTTGACCTTTCCTTCTCAACGGGCTGCAGGATGAGAATAAACAGACGAGGCACAGCTTGCTGTCACATGTACTTTCTGTTCTGCAATCAAATAGGCTGGTGGATCAGAGGTTTTAAAAAAATTAACAAATGGTGCATAATATAGGGACAACGAATATACTAGACTTCAAATATTTCCATAATCAAGACAGGTGACAGTATTTATTGTATTGTTTGATTAGAAATGCACAAATCAAAGATTTGAAAATTAAATTAATTTTAGGATCTCATTTCTTTTATTATTTCTTATCAACATTTTTTGTTAAATTCTTCATAAACCACTTTCCTTCATTTTATTCCATTTCACTTTGTTATTGTGATGAAGTAGATTAAGGATTATTAGTAAATTATAATGTATCTGATAAAGTTGGTTTGTTCAGTTTTTTGAATGGGGGGGGCAAAGAAAATATATTGCATGCTATTTTTGTTGTTTATGAAGACAAAATGAAAAAAAAAAGTTTTGAAACACACATCAAACTTATATTTTATATGGATATTAATGGATTGTGCCATGTGTGTAGAACAATCATTGTTTAACAACAAAAGAAAAAAAAATATATCAACATTTAAAAAATGCAAACTGCCTTGACAATCTTCCATTATGTGTATGATGTTAACGCAATTAGCAGAGTCTCATTATATATTGCATGTTTTTAATAACCCTTTCTTGACATAATGTGGTTTTGAAGTATCGTAAAGATTTGAAACTCCAGCTTGGTTGAAAGCATAATGCAAACATATTTAATTACTAAGGTTCTGCCATGTTCTGTAATGTATATGCTTATCATGAGGAATTGCAGCAAAGTCAATGAGACAATGCAAATGCCTTTCGACTGTTGCCACACACTCTAATCCAAGAGAAGTGAATTCTATGGAAGAAACTCAATGCAGTTTGATTTGATTGGATTTACTCTGTTAAGTGTCTTGAGATAGCATGTTGGGGGAGTGCTGGTCTAGTGGTTAGAACAGTGCGCTTGTGCTCTGAGAAGGTTGCAATTACCCAGTTTGATCCCCAAGACACTTAACCCCACACAGCTACCTGGGAGCCACACAATGGCAGCCCACTGCTCCACAGGGGGTGGGTTAAATACAGAGGTAAATTTCTCCAATGTGAGATAAATAGAATTCAATTGTTATAATTTGATGCTTTATGAATAAACAGATTTGAACCCATTGCAATTTCCTCAGCTGATGAAATGTAACCCTTTGTAGTGCTTTCATAAGTAAATCCCAGCCTCAATATGTATTTTCAGTTCTATGAGTGTCTTGCTTTTTTGTATCCTGACTTCACCTCTTTGCTTCATTAGTCTTCCTCTCTCATTAAAGATTTCCTCGTCTACTAACATGGTCTGTTTATATTGGAATAATTATGCATAAGATACTTAATGTTTGTTCTTATTATGTATAATGTGTGACATATGGGGGGGAGTGGCGATCTGGGGCAGTGGCAGTCTAGTGGTTGGGGCATAGGGCTTTGAATCCGAGATTGGGAGTTCAATCCCCCACTTCCCCAGACTGCCACTCTGGGTCCCTGAGCAAAACCCTTAACCCCACACTGCTCCCCGGGCGCCGCACAATGGCAGCCCACTGCTCCCCAAGGGGATGGGTTAAATGCAGAGATAAATTTCTCCAATGTGAGAGCAATAATGTTCAATTAATTTATTTTTATTTATATTACTGTTCCAGAGAGCACAAGCAGTATAGGACAACTCTCACGAAGTATTGCTCAAGCTTAACGAAACCAGCCGTTCTCCTGTGTGCCTTTCTCCTTCGGAATACCGTCAATCTTCAGATCCCAGGGAACGGGGATGAATCCAGTCCCGTCAAAGGGTCTGAAGGACTTAACGGTCCTACTGTGGCCACAGTCTTTCTGGATTTCACCTACGTCTACTGGAATCGTCAGATATGTTGGCATCCGGGTCGAAGGACCAATTTAATGTCAGGTCTAACACCAAAAACAATGTAAAGCAGGAAAAGAAAGGCACAGAGTCAGAATTATTTTTACTCGCGAGGAGAGTAGGAAGAGACCGTACATCTACAATCTCCACCCCACTCTGCCGGTCTTCAGCTTTCTCCTCGCTAGTTATTAAAGTCAGGGGGGGTCCCTAGTTACACAAGCTGAGGTCTTGCTGTCAAATGGTCCGAGGAATGGCTGGTTTCATTGGGCTTGAGCAATACTTCCTGAGAGTTGACCTATACTGCTTGTGCAACACCTCTCTGGAACAGTAATATGTCACACATTATACATTATAAGAACAAACATCAAGTATCTTATACATAGTTATTCCAACAGTTTATTATATATGTTTACGTATACTGGAAAGACTGGATTAGAAGTTGCTGACCAGCCAATCACCAATAAGGGCTAATCTAATGCAGAACTTGATTTTTTGTGCATCTCTGATTAATATATGTAAATAGTTGATTGTTTTACCAATAGGGCTCTGGTAATAGATGTCCCAGAGTTAGATGATAACCCAACAGCTTTGCATTCACAAGCACCATCTCATTCTTAAAGACCTACCATGTTCTTCATCAAGG